TGATCAGTTATATAAAGTGTTAAAATATGTATACAGCTTAAGATGTAAACTGTAGAGATCTTATTCTGTAGATCTCTCTTTACTATACTTTTTCTTTTCTATTCTTTTCTATCTATCTATTTAATATATTTATCTTTAAGACTATGTTCTCTTTTCCTTTGTCATGATATTTTTAAATGATTTCAAAGTATTAGAAGATGTTGAAATACTGTAATTTATAAATAGTTTTTATATTCTGAGCTGGAATTTTCTGATTTTACATATCTGAAATTGATAAATGTATAATACTTGACTTTATAGATATAGAAAAAACTCTGAGAACTAAAAGTTCTTAGATAGATGTTATAGTCTCTGACTGTATACATCTATAATTGAAGAATAATAATAATAATAATTATAAGAAGTTTCTTATTGTAGATCTTATAATTGCATTTAGCAGAATTCAGTTTCTTAGATATGAAAATGTATAATTGTAAGACATTGTAAGAGGCCTACACTGAATAGATCAGTATAATATATAGGTCTTATATAACAAAGTGAAAAACATTAGAAAAGGAAAAGAAAGAGAAAGTATAGAAATCAGTGATTGAAGTGAATATTTATACATGTACACAGTGAAGCTTTGAGATGAAAGAATAGAAATTTCATGAATTTTCAGCTGAGAATCAGTGACTGAGAATCAGAGCTTTCAGTAGAGAATTAGTGACTGAGAATCAAAGCCTCAGTAGAAATCTGTGAAGTGTAATGAAATAGTCTATATAATTGATCAGATGCAGCTTGCTACATTAGCTCTCTTCTTCTCTGATTATATGTAATTTTCATCAGTCAAGAACTGTGATCTCAGATAATACAGAACTTGAAGTTCAGGTTAGACAATTATAGTTAACTCATTTTACAAGATATTATCAGCTGCGGCTTTGAAGTCTCTTTTCAAGAATGTTTTCAATCTCTCACTCAAGTTTATTATCTTCTTCTATAATCTCTGACAGCTGTCAGTCAGAAGTCAGTTGAGAAGAAAATGAATCAGTGACAGTGTGATGAAGCAAGCTTATATGAAATATATCATGAATCTCTGATAAAGTATCAGAACAGTAGTTATGACTGTCTAGAATCTCTATCACTTTGTACTTAACATGACAGTAATTTAGTGTACAAGATAAGTGTGTGATTTATATATTCTTAAGATTCAATCACATTAGGTCTTCTATCTTATATTACTCAGTGAGATCTTAGTGAACATTAATTCAATCTTCTTAATCTTGTTTAGTACTTGTTATGAAGGTCTCTGCTCAATCACAGATATCTCAGAGCTTTATTACTATATTATCAGCAATCTGAATCAGACTGTGAGAGTTCAGTATGAACTGTGTAATCTCTAGAAGATTCAACACTTTCATGTGATATCTGTGTGTAAGAAAGAACAGACTTATATCTGTTAAAATATCATCTCAATTATTAATAGCAATCTCTGTATATAGAAGAAGATTATATCAATTATTCTATGAATAATTATGAAACTTATAAAGATAGTTCTTAACAGTTTGAATTATTCATTCTGATACATTATCAGTCTCAGAGTAATAGATAGTTGATAAATAGTATATAATCTTGAGAACTTGACAGATTCTTGTTCAGAGAGTGCTCATGAATTGACAGTCTTAATCAGATACTATAGATCTCAGTAAGTCATGCATCTGATAGAATAAGCTTTATAGAAAGGTTTCAGTAACTTATTCAGTATTTATCTTATTACAAGACTTTAATATCACATTCTTACTCAATCAGTTAATAATAATCAGAACATTCTTACAACTCTTACTCTCAGAGAGATTAACAGTAAAGTTAATTACTATATCTTATCAGATTCTATCAGAGATATTGAGTGATTTCAGTAGATCTTTTCTACAGTTCTTTCATAACATAATGAAAGAATAATAATTACAGTTTCAGATAAAATGTCTGATACTGTTTAATATCTCAGATCAGTAGAACTCTTAAAAGATTATTTATTACAGTTGTTTACAATCTGAATAACTGATTATATAAGAATTATATATCTCTTGTATTATCTGAGTATATAAGAGTTCAGAGTGAGAGCCTCAGTGTGATTCATAGAATTACAAAGTATTATTATCATTAATTAAGTATTCTGAGATGTCAGTTCTTATACATAGTTCTGAGAGAAATCAGAATGCTTCTTAATATACTGCTTCAGTGAGTACTTAGAGAAGTTTATCAGTTTGAGCTGTTATATATTATAATTCATTCAGTGTAAATTCAGAAGATGTTCTAATCAGTGAAGTGTGTATCATATTATAAGTAATCTCATTATAATCAACTAATATCTTTGGATTCAAGAGTCAGTATTCTCAGTTTATTCAGCATGTATCTATTATATCAGATAGTATATTCTATTCTTATTATAAGAGAGCATCTGTTATCAAGTTCTAACTGCTGAGGCAGTAGTGTATAGTGAAGTGAAAACAGCTTAATAACTCAGATTATTGCATCTGATGTTCAGTAAGCTTATAAGTAATTGTAAAATACTTGAGATTCTTATAAGCTGTAATTATCTCTAATTTGAAGATACTTCAGAGTTCAGAGTCTCATTCTTCTAGATAGTATATAATTGTAAAAAGTTTCTTATTATAGATCTTATAGTTATATTCAGCAGAACTCAGTTTCTTAGATACAAAGATACATAATTATAAGACATCTTCATTATTATATTATAATATAGCTTCTTCTGTGACATAGTCAGAGAAATCAGCTTGAATAACTATCTTATAATCAGAATTGAATATTATCAATAGAGAGGTATTAATGAACATCTTCTTTATTCATGTAAATGCAGCTTCAGTATTCACTGATTATTAAAATACTGAGTTTTTCTTGATAAGTTCTGTAAGTAATCTCATAATATCTGATAAGTTTCATATAAATCACTGCTAAAAGTTAGCAAATTTAATAAAGCTTTATACTTGTTTCACAGTGTGCAGAGCCTCTCATTCAAGAATAGTAGAGACTTTCTCAGAATTCATTCAGATTCTCTTATCAGCTTCTATGATAAAGTCTAGATATTTTATACTTTTAATCTTAAAATCATACTTGTCTATATCTATCAGTAGTTCTGCTTCTTATAGTTATTATAATATCTTTTATACATGTTCTTGATATTCTTTTCTGAACTTATCAGTGAAGATGAGAATATTATCAAGATATATAGATATAAATTCATTAAGAAAATCTCAGAGTACTCAGTTAATATACTTCTGAAATATACTGAAGATATTAGTCAGTCTGAGAAATGTGACTACTCATTTAAAGAGATTATATTATATTTAAAATACTGTAAGCTACTTATCTTCTTCAGTGATATAGATCTTATGAATCACTGTAATAATATCTAGCTTTGTAAATCATTAAGCTTGTTTAATATAAGCTAGAGTTTCATTGATAAGAAATAAAGAATAGCAGTCTTTCTTCATTAATCTATTCAGTTCTTAATAGTTCACACAGAATCAGAGTTCTTCACCTGATTTCTTTACAAAGAGAATAGAGACTGTAGTAGAAGAGTTACTAATATATATAAATTCTTTATTTCACAGATCATTAAGTGTCTTTCAAAAAAGAAGAAGTTCATCTCAGAACATGTTATAAAGAGAGTCTTATAACAGTTCAGAGTTATTATTATTATTATTATTCTTTCATTATACTCATATGCAAGCGGAGCTTATGATGAGTCCTTGTGTGATGTTAAATACAGGCTAAGTGTTGGTTATACAGGAGGAAATACAGGTGTTGAGACCACACCAAGATAACAAGAACATAGGAAATACTGTAAGAATAAGTGCTCGCGGCGATTATTCAGGTGTTTGCAGCTTGGCGTGATATGTACTGTTAACTACTAGAAGTGTTCACAGTAGGAAGATAAATGTAGAAGTTAAGTGTATAATAGTATTCAAGCTGAGTTGTGAATAGTATTCGCGAACTCCAGTCTATATAGTTGTGTGTAGCCAAGGGCCGCTAGCCCTATTGGTTACACAAGAGATAGAAATAGAGATAAAGAATCTGTGAGGAGTGGGATTTCTTACATACTCTTCCCTCTCTAAGGCTTCATCTGTGAAGCCTTTCACTGAGTGACTTCATAGTCAGCTCAGCACTGCAGTGATACTCACTAAAAACCCTTCACATCTGTAAAAAACCTCAGTGAGGAAAAATCCCTTGTTATTATGAAGAGAAAAGAGTCTGTCACTCAGTTCCTTATTCTGTGAGATTCTTTGTGACCTACAGATTCTTCTCTGACTATCACACAGATTCATCTTGCACCTTTCATACAGAAGAGTTCTGGTTGACTCTCAATCATTTCCATGAGATTCTTGTGTGATCATCACACAGATTCATCTCACAGGTGAATCACTCTCTGTGAGATCACCCTCATCAAAGAGAAACATTCATGAGTTGATCTTTCATTCATTCTTGCAAATCATTGCTCTTTGACACTGTAGAATTGTGAGGAATTTTTCATTCTTTCATCAACTCTGTAGAATTGTAGAATCAAGATGTTCACAGTCTGCAATCACTCTTTATAGTCATATAGAAAGATTCAGGCCTGTGATTCACAATCACTCTTGTTTACTAGAGTGATCTGGCTGTTTCACAGAATCACTCACAGTGTAAGCAAATCTCTCTAGAGTAGTATAAATATCTCAGATCTGTCTGTGAAACCTCATCTTCTTTTCTCTTTTTCTGTAACAGCTTTCATTCTCATAAACTGTGAGTATTCTCATTCATCCATGAAGTGTTTTCACTCAGATGACAGAGAGAGAGTGTTTCTGACAATATTCATATATTGATTCAAGAACTTCTCAAGAATAAAAATTTTTTCAATTTCAATATCTTTGCAAACAATGTCTGGCTGCTGCTGAGCTTCTCATGAGCATCCCTGCAACTTCTCCAGTTGCTTTTTGCTGACTGGTGAAGCAGGGGTGCTGCCGCCCATGACCACATCTCCATCCTCCTCAGCTCTGCCACTGCACCCGATCTTCAGGCCAGCGGCTCACCCCATCCCTCCCCCAGGCCAGCCCCTGGCTTCAAGCAGCACAGTCCCTCTCTTTGCTGTAAGTCTTCTTATAAGTAATTTCTTACAGATTCTAGCTGACAGTTCTTGCAAAGCTCTCAGTGTTGTCAGTGTCTTCTACAGCCCCACAGGCCTATGATCACCCTCCCCCTGCTCACACAATCTCTGATCAGGCATATGTGAATATGCCTAGGTTTCCTATCAATGGTCCTCGCGCCGCGGCGCATTTCTGCAATTCCATTGTCAATGAGAGATGAGTCCCCGGGTACCTGTAAAATCCAGGTAGTCAAGGCAATGTGAATGCCATGAATTCACAATGAGAGTTGACCTGAACAGATGAGCTCTCTCTCTGCATCTTCATTGTTTCCAGGCTGAATACTTCAGCACAACTGAGAGAGTGAACACAGCTTCATGAGAGATATCTGATCACATATGCAGATGACCAGTCTTCAAGGCCCTGCTGCAACTACACATGCCCTGGTGTCCAGCTTCTCTGAAGTCTGTGCATTTCTAATGACCTTCATATCAAATGTAACAATTGTCTGTATCACAGACATGATACTTTCTACTTCTTTGAAGAGAGAAATTGATAGTTATGAGAGAATTGAGTGTCATGAGTGTTGATAATATGAGTGTGAGTTTTCTTTATTTTTTCTTTGTTAATCTCTAAATTATATTCACAGCTCTGTTTGTTTTCTTATTTTTTAGCTTTAATGAGAATATGTTTTCTTCTTTCCTTGTGTACACTGCAGACTGTTCATTCCAGTAGAAACCCATTATCTTGTAGACTAGGATTCACAAATAACAGTGTTAATATCTTTATCACAATCAGGTTCTTAGTGAAGACTGTGTCATTCTAACTTGTCAGGATTTACAGCATGAAAGTTATGTCTCAGCTTCTGCAGATGTCTTATCTGTCTGAATGATTCTCAAATGAACTCATTCACCTTGTCAGAATACTCTTGTCACTGAACCTTGAATCAGAGCTTGCAATCTCACTTCTCTGAGTCAACAATTTCTTTGATCTGATATTCTCTTTCACTCTCTAGTGCTTTGCAGACAGAGTGATGAGTCACAGAGTTCTCTTCTGAGAATTCCTTGTATTCATGAAGTAAAGAGATATGAAAAACATTGTGCATCTGCAACTCAGATGACAGTTTCAATCTGTAGAACTGTGAGCTAACTTTCTTCATAATCTTATAAGACTCTGTCTATAAGAGATTCAGCTTCTTACTAGATCTCTATGTGATAATATTTTCTAGACTCAGTCAGACTCTATTATCTTTCTTGAAACTCTTTGCAATGTGCTTGAAGTCATAGTATCTCTTCTGATACTCTTGAGTCTTTCTCAAGAATTTGCAGGCTTTCTCCTGAATCTTCTGAATTCTCTCAGCCTGTTCACAGGCATCACCACACTCTATAGTATACTCTTGCAGGTTCATCAAGATCATCCATGAATGAGTCTCAGTGAGCATCTCAAAGAAGGTTTTGCCTGTGCTGACATGCTTTAAGTTGTTGTATATAAACTCTGTAAGTGATAATCAATACACTCAGTCATTCTGATTGTAATTGACAAAGCACTGCAGATACTGTTCTAATATACTCATCAGATGTTCTATCTGATCATCTGTCTGTTGATGAAAAGTCATGCTTAGATCTCATGAGATCTTCAGTATAGTTATCAGATCAGACTAGAACTCTTCTGTGAAGATTAATTCTCTGTCTGAGACAATATTCACAGACAACTCATGCAACCAGACCACATTATGAACAAAGATATGAGTCAAATTCTTTGACTTCAAGTCCTTGCAGGTGGGTATAAAGTGTGTCATCTTGATGAAGTAATTCACTATCACCAGCACACTGTCAAAGCAGGCATCATATATGTCCTTGCTTTCAGAGAGACTCACAAGAGCATTCATTTCTAGCTGTTTCCAAGGTTCTCACAGAATGGGTAGAGAAGTAAGTTCTTCATATGACCTGAATCACACTACCTGTGAACCCTGATAAATAGCACAAGAATTCACTATCTTCTTCACAAGTTCTCACATCTTCAGTCAGAAGTATTTTCTTATAAGCAGCTCATGAGTTCTAGTATCTGTAAAATGATCTGCTAGAGAAGAGTTATGATGCCTTTTAATGAGTTCTACATATAGAAACTCATTCACAGGCACATAAATTCAGTCCTCTCTTCACAAGAGATTATTTAAGTCTCTTCAATTCTTTATTTCTGCAGGATTGATCCCTGCTGTGAGCAGTTTCTGAATATACTGAGTATATTCATTCTTCAGTTGCAGTTCAGACAATCTGAATAGAAGATCTTGTGAAGACTTGTGCTCTGTTTCCTCTTGCATCAGGTCTTCTGCAGTGCTTCTCAAAGCCTGCAAACTCTTCAGGTTATAGGTACCCTCTTCAAGGATTCTCATAGAGATTTTCAGAGTGTTGACTCTCAGTGTCATAGAGAGTAGTTGTACAGGCTTCTTTCCTCTCTCTTTCTCCTTCTCTCATAAGGGATTGAAAGACTCTTCAGTTAATCTCTTTATAACACTCAGTCTGAGTATTCTGCAAAGCTTTTCTGTCTTCTCTAGTCTCTCTGTGTCTGTCACCCTGATCTTCTTAACATAGTCTGACCTGTGAGAGAGTTCATCTGCTGAGTTCTTAGTTCTCTTGATATATTCTATCTTGAATCAGAACTCACTCAGTCTCTGAGCTCAGTGAACCTGCTGCTGCAAGAGTTCCTTGATTGAAGTAAACTGTTATAAGCTGTTATAATCAGTTCTAACAGTAATCACTGTTACAAGGCTCTTAAAGTAGTGACATCAGTGATAGAAGAATTTCACTATCATGAGAAGCTTCTGATCATGAATGTCATAGTTAATCTTCATGAGTTGCATCTTCCACAAGAAAAAGGCCACTGAAACTCAGTTCTCATTTAACTGTAGTTGTGAGACTATTTCTGAAATCACAAAGAAGAAGGCATCTGTCTCTAATCTGATTAAGAGCAAGGAATCAAAGTGAAATAGCATCACTGTATTCACAAATGTCTGTTTCAATCTTACAAAGACTCTGTAAGCTTCTGAGATAAGAAAGTTCTTACAGTTCTCTCTTCTCAACAATCTTTTCATTCTCTATTTATGAAATGACTTCTTCTTATTTCCATTCTTCAGCATGTCTGTAAGAGTCAAGAAGATCCTCATGAACACAAAGATAAACTGTCTATAGAAATTCACAAAGCTCAGAAAGATCTGAATCTCATGAATACTAGTTGACTCTGATTATGATAGAATAGTCTCAACCCATGAAGATTTCATCTGAATATCATTCACAGTGATTACATATTCTAGGAAATTAATTCAGTGAGCACTGAAGTTGCACTTCATGAGCTTAATATACAGTTCTGTCTCATCTAAGGCCTTCAACACACTTCACACATGCTCAGTGTGTTCTTTCTTCTTCATAAAGTACATCACCACATCATTCAGATATATTATCACAAAGACATTCAGATATGTGTGAAGTGTTTTATTGATGAAAGACTGAAATGTCATGAGAACATTAGTCAGACTAAAAGACATTACTAGATATTCAAACAATCTCAGTGCAGTTCTAAAGACAGTCTTTTATTCATTCTCAGATTATATTCACAGCTGTGTATATGTATTGATCATATTCAGTTGTGTGAATATGACAGCTCTTATGAGACAGTTGATCACATTCTCAATCAGAGACAGAGAATAGCAGCTCTTTGTTATCTTAGAGTTCAGATTGTGATAGTCTACACACAATCTGAGATCTTCATCCTTCTTCTTTATAAACATCACAGGGGCTCCTGTGAAGGTCTGTGAAGATTGAATGAAGTCATTCTTCAGATTCTTCTTCACATAGGTTTGCAAGACCTCTGTCTCATGATGAAAGAGCTTATAGATTGATTCTCAGAAGAGTTTCTGCTCTTCTATCAAATCTATTATCAGATTCTTCTCACAGTGAGAAGAAAGCTCAGCTGCCTTAGCTGGGCTGAACATCTCTACAAGATCTCAGTATTCCTCTGATATCTGAAGCTCAGTTTCCATGACTGTGAGGTCCTCAGACACTTGCAAAGTCATCATATAGATGAGCTTGTCTTCTCTAATCAACTCTGCAGCATCAACTGCTTCTATCTTCATAAGTGAGTCTGTCAACACTGATTGAAAGTATAAACCTGACTTGCAGACAGCTATGTGCAGATTGTGTCTTTGAAGTCATGTAAGTCTCAAATACATGTCATCTGTGATGTTCACAATAATCACAGTTTTCATAAATCTTCTCTAGGTTTCAGAGAGATCTTGCAATTCAAAGATGACTCTTGCAAGTCTCTCAGCCCTCAGATCTGAGTTCTCACACCCTGCTTATTACAAGAGCAGATTCTCAGTCTTCACCTTTCAGCTCATTCACTCTGTGAGCTTTAGAAACACCACAGTGACCTGGAATTCTGAGTTCATCAATGCTTTTCATGCTTGTGAGGCAGCAGCATCACAGTGTGATCTCTTCTCATGAGCAAGTATTTTCATTGAGAAAGCAACAGATTCAGATATCAGCTTCAAGACTCTTAAGAAGGCTGTTGCTGACTCTGTCTGTGACTCTTCAAATTCCTATTTTGATTTGTTCAGACAGTTTACACAGAGATGTTCTGATTTAGAACAGATGAAGCAGAGTCTCTTTTTCTTGGTCTTTCTGTTGTACACTCTGTTTACAGAAGCTTGTGAAGCTCTCTCTCTCTACTCAGCAGTCAGATGTGAATCTCTCTGTGTCTTGTCATCTTTTCCTGACAAATCTGTTCTCTGTTGTCCTGACTCTCACAGAGTCAGTTGATGATCTGCTCTCTGTGAATCTGTGACTCTCACAGTGATCTGCAAGTGATGAATGAGAATCATTAGTTTCTTCAGAGTCAAGAGCTTAGAGCCTTGCTCAATGAGCTTGTTCTGCATGTCTTTATCCAGTCTCTTCATGAATATCATCATTCAGGTCTTGTTTCAGGGCCCTGTTTTCACAGGTCTCAATTCACATCACAATTTCATGAAGTGCTGTGAGTAGTCTTCATCAGATTTCTCACCTCTTTTTCTAATATTGATGATCATGACTCAGATGTTCTCTGTCCAGCTCACAGAGTCTCTCAACTTATTCTCTAGATAGGTCTTGAGAACAGATCATCAGAATCTCTCATGATTATTCCCTAGATGATTCAGCCAGTCCTTGACTTCAGTGTAATAGAGGCCTGTCATCATGTAGATGACAGCTTCTTCATCTTTCATGTCACACAGCTGGGCTTGCAAGTCAATTTCAAATGTAAACTTACAAAAGCTTTTATAGATTGTGGTTCAATAGATAGCCTTAAGTAGTCACAGCTTGAGAAAGTTTCTTTTCAATTCATGAGTGTCTCTGAAGATTATGTCTAGAGACTCAGTTTGAGGGTGTTTGCAGACAGCAAGCATTTCTTGTAGAAAAATAGCTTGATTCTGTAAGAGATGCTCAAGAATGTTCTTCACTGAGATTAGTTCATTCATGAGTTCAGAGGGTTCCTCTGTCACAGATGCAGAGGATGATGTCTCATGAGTGATTGATAAGTCCTCTGGGACTTCTTTCACAGGGGTTATTCATGGTTCAGGTGGCTGCTCCTGGGTGCCTGCAGTAGAGTTCACAGGGGTTGAAGTACACAAGTTTCTAGTTCTTTCAGTCATAACAGGTGGTTGCTGACTGACTGAGCTTGAAATGTAAGAATAAGTGCTCGCAGCAATTATTCAGGTGTTTGCAGCTTGGCATGATATGTACTGTTAACTACTAGAAGTGTTCACAGTAGAAAGATAAATGTAGGAATCAAGTGTATAATAGCATTCAAGCTGAGTTATGAATAGTATTCGCGAACTCCAGTCTATATAGTTGTGTGTA